TCTCTCTCTCTCTCTCGCTCTCTCTCTCTCGCTCGCTCTCTCTCTCTCTCTCTCTCTCTCTTTCTCTGATTTATATTAATAATAAATGATTACATTAAACGTAACAAATAACACAATTAATGTATTAATATAAAAATATTAGTTATATACCAGGAGAACGCTTCTTACAAAAAAAGCTTTCAATAAAAGTTTTAAACTAAACATTATATTTGTTGTGTTTTGGAAATCTTTGAAACATTCATCACAAACGGCATTACATTTGTTTACAAAATATTGCCAAAAAAGTTTTCAAAATAAGAGATAAAGAAATGAGTGACAGTTAGTGTGTCATTGAGAGAGCGATTGAGAATTTGACAAAAATTATTTGACATAATTTTATACAAAATTTAAATTTAGATAAGTAAATTTAATAAATTTAGTAATCTACCACTCGCAGTAGTTGGTCATTATATATTTGAATGCGTACAAGTGATAATAAATTGACTATAAAGTCTGTTGCCCTATAATGCCCAAGTTTGCCCAATTATGCCCGCTCAGATATCCGCTGTTATATACCAATTATAATACTTACCAAAATAATAAACACCTTCATTATTTTGATTTCAGGATTATAATATAATTAAACACGTTTGACCGTAAAATAACTAGAACCTATATGGCGTTAACTGGTAGATAACTAAACACACTATTTAATTATTTAAACAAATATGTTATTATGAATTAATAGTTTTTGTTAATTAGTGTTTTAAAATTAATTATAATATTAAAGGGTTTTTTTGTAAATTATTATTTTAATTGAAATTAGATTATTTATTATTTTAGTGATATTAATCATTATTATGTAGTTTTAAAAAATAACATATTATTAATTAGATTTGTGTGCTTTTGTTTATTAAATTGTAGATTAGGTGTAACATTAGATTTGCTAATTAAATAAAAATGAAAATATATAAGATCTAAATAATAACCAAAAATAATTTAATAAATATATAAATTTTTATTTTACTCTAAAAATATGGTTAATTGAATGAAGGACAAATAATGCACACATTAAATAGTGATATTACTGATTACACTATTAGAAATTATAGTATAGATATTGTTATTGATTATACAGTGCAGTGTGTATAACATTCGTAAGTCATATTATATAACTTGTACATTTACATCAATTTAAAAGTGTACTAAACCATGTATTAAGCTATTTTTGAAAAATATATAAACACTACAAAAACAACACAATTATTTAAATATACTCAAAACATATGAACAAATGGCAAACAGAGAACTAACAGTGCTGTTCGTCCCGGGAGATTATGTCGGGGCAGTCATGTCCAGCATAGGTATGGCCGAAGTGTTGCGGGACAGCGGCCGACACCGGTGTGTGTTTGCGGTGACCGGCGGCGAGAAGTCACGCGTCGAACGGATGCGAGCCATAGGTTTTGAAGTGATTTCAATCGGCGAGAAAGCGGATAGAAATGCCGAGAATTGGGCGCACAATGAGTGCAATCATAACTTAACGCCACTTCAAACGGTGCAGAATTTAATTCAACTTTTTTATGAATGGTATTCAATGGCCGCCGAAGTGGTCGACCCCTACGTGAGGGATGTTATCGCAGATTTAAAGCCCGATGTTATCATTACCGACCATTTATATACACTTCCATCGATAGTCACTTCAGGCATACCCTGGATATTCAGTTGGAGTAATAGTCCGCTATCTCTGGACTATGGCATAGATGATGACCGCTTACCACCATCTGCTTTAGGTATGGATTGGATTTTATTGTGTTGTTTCAATTTAGTGATTATTAATAACGTAAATATTATTTGTATTTATGATAAGGTTTGCCAACAAATAGCGATAAAGAAGTGAAAGAGAAATACAGAAAATTAGTAAACGAAGCGAAAGCCAAACTATGGTATAAACACAGGGATAGAGTGTTGGCCAACGGGTGTCCACTTCTCCACGAGTACCAGTTGTGGACTCCCTCTCCGTTCGCCAACTTCTATATGACACCCAAAGAGCTCGACTACACAGACATCAGGCCATTGCCCGACACTTTCCACGGGTTTGATTACTACAAGCGTTCGGCAAATGTGGACGCGTTTGAAATGCCGGAAAAGTTGAGGAATAAATCGGGAAAATTGCTTTTTCTATCGTTGGGTTCCATAGGAAGCGGAAGAGTACAACTCATGAAGAGATTGGTCGCAATTTTGGCCAAATCCCAGCACAGGATTATTGTGGCTAAAGGTGTAAATCACAGTCAATACGAATTGGCAGACAATATGTGGGGCGATATGTTTGTCCCGCAGATTGAAGTGTTACCACTCATTGATCTGATGCTAACCCACGGCGGGAACAATACTGTGACCGAAACCATGTATTTCGGGAAACCAATGATAGTTTTGCCCCTATTTTTCGATCAATACGATAACGCACAGAGAGTGCAGGAAAAAGGGTTTGGCGTTAGACTCGATCCCTACGAGTGCTCTGAACAACAATTATTGCAATCCATTGATTATGTATTGAATGATAAAATTATTGCTGAGAATTGTGCGAAAGCTTCGCAAAGGATTCAAAGCGAAAAACGGATTGAAAAAATTGTTGAATTGGTTGAAAGTTTAGTTAAATAAATAGGAAATTATAAAAAATTTAAACTTTACAGTACGAGTTTTTAAATAAGATTTTATTGCATTTAATATAATATTAATGATATTATTATTAATTGCATGTCATTTATAAATGATTAACACAATATATTGTCGGCAATCATAAAACATATAAATGTAATTTTAACTTTAAAACAAATTCTTTATGAATCCCTACTGTAAATCATATGATTGTTTGAAGATATTTTTATATATTTACTGTAATTTACTGACAATGAGTGTATTTTATAATAGTTTTCTTATCTAAATAATTAATTTAATTGTTATCCATTATATGACACAATAAAATTTATGAAATCTAACACATAATTAAATTTAATCAACAATACATAATAGGTAAAATTTTTATTTTAAAAAATAGTATTTAAATAGAATAATATTTCAAACTATAATTTAATACATGGCATATGTGTGTATAGATATTTGTCTCAATAATAGTAGTAATATTCTTTAAAAATTGTCTTATAAAATCTTAATTGTATTTATTTCATTATAAATATTGTGAGTAATGCCTGAGAAAACTATCCCTTCATATACTGTGCGGACAATGCAGTTGTCGGACAGCGAAGAAGTATCTCAAATGTATTTATCTCTTGATCCCGATATATATAAATATATCAATCAAATGATTTTGTTAATTGACCCAAATGGTTCATTTGTGGCTCAAGACATTAGTACAGGTAAACCCTTATATAGACCATAGGAAATATATTAATCATTAATAAAAATTATATATTTCAGGTAAATTGCTGGGAGTTTGTATCAGTGCTAATCTATCACCGGATCTGTCGTACATGTCTATGTATGCCGTCCTTAAAGAGTATCAGGGATTAGGCATTGGAACCGCTCTCTGGGATAAAGCCATTAAACATATGGGCGACAGAAATGTATCACTTTTTGTGGAAAACAGGAAAATGCGAGACATTTATTACAATCGATGTAATTTCAGAGTTGTTCCCAAACGACGAGCACTTGTTATGAGCGGAAACTTTGTGGCCAACAGTTTGACGGCTAGTATTCCCGGCATACGTTTGGTTGACATGAATGACAACAATATCGCGGATGTGATTGAATACGACAAACAGTACTGCTGTGGTCGGGACAGGTCTACACAACTTCGGGCACATATCGGTCAGTTTAATAGCACAGGGGTTGTGGCCATTAATGACAATAATCATCAAGTTATGGGTTATTGTACTGTTTGGGAGAATACTTCCGGGAGTTTAAGTGTTGCCCCACTTTATGCCGATAATCAACAAATCGCTGAATTATTAATTGGAAATTGTTTACAACGGATACCCAATTATGACATCAAAAAGTTTGACTATTTTTGTTGGGATTCAAATACAAAATCACTAGAAATAGCAAACAAATTGGGCCTAAAATTGGTATCAAAATTACATGTAATGTTTACAAAGAAAATAATTGATTGTAATCTTGATAAAATATATTCTATCGATGCCTATGCAATGTACCCATTTTGATATTAATCTTATGTTGTGTGCTTGATTCATTGATTAGTCACTATGATCATCAATTTGTATTGTTTTAACATCAAAATGATTGTTGCGATTAATTATTCCACCTTGGTTTAACTTTACTTTGTTATATTATTGTTTATTGAATAAAAATTTAAGTTACAGTTTTGCTTCCTATATAATGTTTAAAATTTTAAACAATATTAAAGTTAATACACCATGTGATAATAAATGATGAAGTATATTGTGTTGGAAGTGTGTTATGAAATTGTCTATAATGTCTATAATTTGAATTTTTAAACTTTTATGCAATTGACCATCAATGATTTTAAACATTATCAGTAATTCAAGCAACTATTTTAATCTCAATTTAATTACGATTTCTATTAATTCTAGGTATTTCATTAATTAATACAATAGAAAGTACGATAGTAATTACAGATTAGATATAAAATTAAATACGAAAAATATACGAAAATTACGATTGCATAAAACATATGAGCGCATGCGAGGTAATACAAATTATGTAACAAGGTAATTACCAGAAATTCTGGTTCAGAATAACAATCAATAATAATTGATATTATAGCAAATCACTTTATTCCCATCTCGTATTGTATAAAATAGTTTATTATTACATATATACCTGTAAAACAAATTTTTGTTCAATTAATTCATTAGTCTATTGTGATAATTGTCTTAATAATATTCAACAAAATCATTTATAATTCATTTCATTAGTAATATTCAATCATTTATTATAAGTATTAAGAATAATGTCTAATAAAACAATGCCTTCATATACTATACGGACAATGAAAATATCTGATTGCGAAGGAGTGCGAGAAGTATTGAAATCTGTTGGTATTGATCACCACATATACGCAAATGAAATTATGTTAGCAACTGATCCCGAGGGAGCAGTTGTCGCTCAACACATCACTACAGGTATAATAAAAACTATTAAATAATTTTATAATTGTTATTATTCATAACATATATAATAACAGGTGAATTGTTGGGATTGTGTGGTATTATTAATCTGTCGCCAGAGTTGTCGTATGTAGTGATATATGCGGTGAGAGACGAGTGTCAGGGATTAGGTATTGGAACCGCTCTTTGGGATAAAGCTATTAAACACGTCGGCGACAGAAATATTACACTTCAATCATCGGAACCCAAAATAACAGATGTTTACAAAAACCGACAAAATTTCACATTAATTCCAGAAAGAAAAATAGTTGTTATGAAAGGCAAACCTGTGGTCAACGCATTGACGGCTAGTATTCGCGGCATAAGTTTGGTTGACATGAATGATAAGAATATCGCGGATGTGATTGAATACGACAAACAGGTCTGCGATGGACTCGACAGGAGTGCACAGCTCAGGGCACTCAACGGGCCGTTTAATAGCATAGGTGTTGTGGCCATTAATGATAGTAAACAAGTGATGGGCTATTGTCTAATATCTGAAAACGTGAATGGTCATTTAATTGTTGCACCACTTTATGCCGATAGTCAACAAATCGCTGAATTATTAGAAATTATTATTTATAATTTTAAACTACAGTAAAAATATGTTATAAATTACACCATGTGCTATAAAATGATAACATACAGATAACATCTGAATTTTGTGTGGGAAGTGTGTTATCAAATTGACATTGATTTTATTATCTAATAAAAAATATCTATAAATTTTAAACTAACAAATAAAATAGTAAAAAGATTAAGTTAAAATGCAATTTCTTTCTAATCAAGTAATATATAGTTTTATTTTTGAATTTTGAATTTAAATAAATTTAATTATAAGAATTGTGAATAATGTGTGAGAAAACAATGCCTTCATATACTATACGGACAATGCAATTGTCGGACAGTGAAGAAGTGAGTCAAATATGGTCAGTTTATTTCAATATATTTAAATACCAAAATGAAATGTCACTCATAACTGATCCGGAAGGTACTGTTGTCGCTCAAGACATCACTACAGGTATAGAAAATTAATTACACAAATTATTGTAATTATTTTTATAAACATATAATAAATTATATTAAATAAAGGTGAATTGTTGGGAGTGTGTCAGTGCGTTAATCTGTCACCAGAGCTATCATTTTTGATGGTATATGCCGTGAGACAAGAGTATCAGGAATTAGGCATTGGATCCGCTCTTTGGGATAGAGTTATTGAACACATCGGCGACAGAAATGTTTTCCTATTGTCTTCATCTAAGAAAATGCAAGACTTATACAAAAATAAACATAATTTTCGTTTTGTTCCCCAACGACGGCGACTCGTTATGACCGGTAAACCTGTGGTCAACAATTTGATCACTACTATTGATGGCATATCTGTTGTCGACATCAATGATAGCAATATCGCGGATGTGATTGAATACGACAAACAGGTCTGCGATGGACTCGACAGGAGTGCACAGCTCAGGGCACTCAACGGCCAGTTTAAAACTGCAAGTCTTGTGGCCATTAATGATAACAATCAAGTGTTGGGCTATTGTTTTATATCGGATACCGTTTCTGGGGATCTATTCGTTTCCCCACTTTATGCCGATAATCAACAAATCGCTGAATTATTAGTCGGAAAATGTTTACAACAAATACCCAATTGGGATAATAAAAAGATTATCTATTCGTTATGGCATTCAAACTATAATTCAATAGATATTGCAAACAAATTAGGATTAAAACAGCAAAAAGAAATACAAATAATGTTCACTAAAATAATACTTGATGGTCAATTAGATAAAATCTATTGTCCGGGTATTTCAGCTCTTTGTTCTTATTGAGTCTTTAATACAGTCGACATTCTTTGTAATGAACTATGATTTTAAAATTTCTTAAAATGATTATTATTTTATTTTTATTTAATTTTTAAAGTTATAATTTATGCTAAAGCTATTTATCTTAAATGATAATAAAATACATTTTAAAAATAAAAGTTAATATATAATTAACAAATATTTAAATAATAAAAATTAAATACAATATATGTATATTGTAATTTCTATTAATCTGTTAGTATTATTTTAACTTTACTGTGAAATAAGATTATTAGGGCTTACTAATCAAGCATTAGACATTGGATCCGGATTGCATAATACATCAGATAAAATGATATAAAAGTTTTAACTAGTTTGTAAATTTAATTTATTAATAAATACAAAATCTTTTAATTTTTTATTTTTATTCAATTCAAAATTACGGTATATATTAAAATTTTTAATTCAAAATAGTCTTTATCGTATTTCATAGGGGATAAATAGCACCTAGACCAGATGAATACATTTTATGCAATTGACCATCAATAATCTTCTTGGTAAACATTGCCTGTAACTCATATAAAGGCTTTAATTCCAATTTGTTTGTGATTTCTATTGATTCTGGGTTTGAATCCCAATACGAAAGTGTTATCTCTTTGGTCTCCCAATTGGGTATCCGTTGTAAACAATTTTTAAGTAATAATTCAGCGATTTGTTGATTATCGGCATAAAGTGGCGCAACAAATAAAGTGCCGGATAAAAATTCTAATATCAAACAATAGCCCATCACTTGATTGCTGTCATTAATGGCCACAAGATTTGTAGTTTTAAATTGAATGGCGAGTGCCCTGAGCTGTACAGTCCTGTCGAGTCCATCGCAGACCTGTTTGTCGTATTCAATCACATCCGCGATATTCTTATCATTCATGTCAACCAAACTTATGCCGCGAATACTAGCTGTCAAAGCGTTGATCACAGGTTTACCGCTTGCAATAACTAATCTTCTATCGGGAATTAATGTAAACTTTTGTCGGTTTTTGTAGATATCTATTACTTTGGGTTCTGAGGCCTGAAGTGTGATATTTCTATCGCCGACGCGTTTCATGGCTTTATCCCAAAGAGCGGTTCCGATGCCTAATCCCTGACACTCTGGTCGCACGGCGTATACAAATACATACGACAGCTCTGGTGACAGGTTTAAAATACCACAGTAGCCCAACAATTTACCTGGTTAATAAAAGTTATTATAACAACTATTAACACCTACAAAATTCAATAATTTTCATTATACTTGTGGTGATGTCTTGAGCAACAACTGTGCCCTCGGGATCAGTTATGAACATCATTTCAATTTCGTTTGAGTGTTGAGGCAAATCAACCAAGGTTAATATTTCGCGCACTTCATTGTAATCAGACAATTGCATTGTCCGTATAGTATATGAAGGCATCGTTTTCTCACACATTATTCTTAATACTTATAACAAATGATTGAATACTAGTATTACTAATGAATTTGAATTAGAAATGATTTTGTCAAATATTATTGAATGATAATGAGTTAATTGAACAAAAATGTGTTTTATTTATACCACAATCAAACTGTTTATAATAATACAATACAATACAACAGGATGATTTGTTATTATTCTGATAAATAACTAGTTACATAACATGTTTTACCTCGCATGCGCTCACATGCGTTATGCAATCGTAATTTTCGTATATTTTTTGTATTTAATTTCATATTTAATTTGTAATTGTTATCGTGTTGTTGTATTAATTATATAATGACCTAGAATCAATTAATTAGTTAAGATTTGGTGTAATAATAATTTATATTTTATAAGTTATAATTTATAAGTTACATGTTATGTAGTAATAAATTCTATGAAAAAGAGTATCAGGTATTAGGCATTGGGTTCAGAGTGCATAATAAATCTGATAAAATTATATACAAGTTTTAACTAGTTTGTAAATTCAATTTATTAATAATACAATTTAAATAAAGTCTTTTAAAATTCTATTTATAAATCACAAATAATTAAATTCTTTATTTTTATTGTATTTTAAAATGGATAAATAGCACCTAGACAAGATGAATACATTTTATGCAACTGACCATCAATGATCTTCTTTGTAAACATTGCCTGTAATTCATGCATTGGCTTTAATCCTAATTTGTTTACTACTTCTATTGATTCTGGGTTTGAATCCCAATACGAAAGTGTTATTTCTTTGGTCTCCCAATTGGGTATCCGTTGTAAACATTTTCCGAGTAATAATTCAGCGATTTGTTGATTATCGGCATAAAGTGGGATAACGAATAAAGAGCCCGACAATAATTCAAATATCACACAATAGCCCATCACTTGATTGCTGTGCTTAATGGCCACAAGGCTTGTAGTTTCAAACCTGCCGTTGAGTGCTGTAAGCATTACACTCCTGTCGAGTCCATCGCAGACCTGTTTGTCGTATTCAATCACATCCGCGATATTCTTATCATTCATGTCTACCAAACATATGCCGGTAATACTAGCCATCAAAGCGTTGACCACAGGTTTACCGCTCGCAATAACTAATCTTCTTTCGGGAATTAATGTGAAATTCTGTCGATTTTTGTAGATATCTATTACTTTGGGTTCTGAGGCCTGAAGTGTGATATTTCTATCGCCGACGCGTTTCATGGCTTTATCCCAAAGAGCGGTTCCGATGCCTAATCCCTGACACTCTGGTCGCACGGCGTATACAAATACATACGACAGCTCTGATGACAGGTTTAAAATACTACAATAGCCCAACAATTTACCTGGTAACAAATATTAATTATATAAATAATTATAAATATCAATAATTTTGATTCTACCTGTAGTGATGTCTTGAGCGACAACTGTGCCCTCGGGATCAGTTATGATCATCAGTTTAATTTCGTTTGGATGGTGAGGCAAATCAACCAAGGTTAATATTTCTCGTACTTCTTCACTGTCCGACAATTGCATTGTCCGTATAGTATATGAAGGTATCGTTTTTACAGACATTATTCTCAATACTTCTAATAAATGATTGAATATTAGTAATACTACTTAATTTGAATTAGAAATGATTTTGTCAAATATTATTGAGATAATTGTCTCAATAGACTAATGAATTAATTGAACAAAAATGTGATAAATTAATCAATAATTTTCATAACATGTTTTACCTCGCATGCGCTCACATTATATAAAACTTTTATCAGATTTATTATGCAATGAGATTTACACGAATGCTAAATGAAAACATTTATTAACAGAAATAAATACATTATTTAAATATAATTTAATTTTATAAATAAATATACACTAAAATTATAAAAATAGAAAATCGCTACAAAATACATAAAAATATAAATACTGGAAACTTAATAATAATGAAATATTTAAATAAACATCTGAATAAACTATAAAAATATTTGTCGCTGAAGTCTCCGATGATTGTACTAAATAAATAAAACAAATCAAAAATAAAACCACGTTCAAAATAATAAATAAATAATTTAAAATAGTTCATTTGCATTTAATTAATGCAAATAATTAATACCATTTTCCAGCTGAGGGTTGTATACATTTGTTAAAGTAGTTGTAAACTGTTGTGCCATAACAATATTCACCTGGGTGGTTAAATTATAGATGCCGAAAACATTGGCCGTACAGTTAAGCCTAATAACACCAGATTGAAAAAAGCGCTTGGTAGCTTTAAATCTAATAAACAACCACGTGTAATATTCCTGATCCTGGAGCGATGTACTGGTCCTACGGACACACGCACTCGGAGCTGACTGGCCATTAATGAACCAGGTCAATTTTCTGGGTTGTTTGTTGGGACCTGACGTACAGTTAAGCTCAACCAAACTGTCCAACTCGTACGGGCCGTACTGAAAGCCGTCAATCCTGGGCCCGGAGCCCATGTTTAGCACAACCGACATGTTTTTGGTCTCAATAATTGTGGCAAATCTGGGCCCACGAGTAGACACTTCGCAACTATAGTGCCCGGCAGTGGCGAACGTAATGTTTTTTAAATACACCGAGCTCATACCAGACCGATCCAGGTCAACCTCTACTCCCTGAAGTGGTGACCACTGAACCGGTGGTCTATGTCTGGGCACATATCGGTAAAATTCATACTTGTCTTTATACCATTTAACCGCGTTTAATGTCTCGTTTTGCAGATCATAGTAACAGTTAAGTTGTATATTATCACCATAGTCAACTTTATTGGGCACATCCAGTCTGACCAGTCTTATACCGTTTATTACGTGATGAACACTGATTATGCTGAATAATATGCACAGCCTTTGTGCTAACAATTGTGGTAATCTCATTATTTTAAGTAATAGTTGTAACAAAATTATTTTGGTGCTACAGTTGAATAATTTTTGTCACATAGTTATGTAAATTATATAATAAGTTGTAATAAATTATTACACAAAAATATAATTATGGTAAATATCGTATGAATAAATATTGACTGTTAACACATACTAATAAATAATGTAATATTTTAAATATGCTAAAATAAACACTGTTGAAAATATTACCAGCTTTATAATGAAATAAAATGTTACGATGATAGAAATTGTTTAAGTGAAAACATTTATTCGCAGTAACAACAAATAAAAAAAATAAAAATCTAGCTTTCACTATACAGCCCACGTACTGTATAATATTCAAATGCAATTAACAGGTGCCTATGGGCATGATCATTCGCCAGAAATAAAAATTTTACACAAAACAATAGATTATTGTGAATCGTGTTATTTGTTTTTATGTACAGTACAAGTCGTGTCATTATAAATAAAATGCATATATTAATTAAGCTGAAAATATAACAATAAAATATCGTACATTTCATCTATTTAACCCAAGGCTCTGATTGCGTAACCTTGCGATTATAGCGACGATTAAACCGGTATTAAAACACCTTATTATACAATGGGAGGGCCGGAAGGGGCCGGCAGTTAACCAAGGATTTTAATGTGAGATACTGTGATAGTTGTTATATGAAGTTGTTTTATTAAAAATTAAAAAGGTGATATAATTTTCGATAATAAAACTTAACTTATTATAAAGTTTGTAAAAAGTTTGATCTTTTTCAAGTATGTATTATTGAAAATATTTTTAAATAATAATTTATATAAATTAAATGCAACTAGTTGTTTGCAACTAGACTTCAAGATGGTAAAATTAATATGATGAAAACTCAAATTAATTAATAAATAATGGACCTTGTTGTGTCAATCAAATATGCACTGTATATCACGGCATTTAAATAACTCTATCAAATTTAATTGATTTTAATTAATTTATTATAGCGCTTGTATTAATGTAGAATTTATTATTTATTAAAATTTTTATTAAATTATTAAATTTTAATATTTTATTTATGGTATGAGAGATAGAGTGCTATTTTGTAATGTTATTAAATAGTAAATTCAATGCCAATCAAATTAGATGTTTGAAATAAACAGTGCAATCAAAAAGTTAGGTTACATTTGAATCAAATGATTTGATAACAACCACAAGTTATTTTATGTTTACAACTATTTTTTTGTTGATGGTAAAATGTTGAATATACATCTAGTTCAACTAATTGTATGATGCTATTTACTAGTTTATTAAACTTAAAAATTAATACAAAAAATCAAAATGTATAAAACAAAAAATGTTTTAAACTGTGAGGTTTGTGGCGATAAAGCATTCGGTATGTAATTGTATTTAGTATAACAATAGTAAAATATGTCATTATAAAAATGACTATGATACCATGAGTTTTATATGTTATTAAATCGTGTCTCTCATTAAAAGGCAGGAATTTCTTTGTCATCTCCTGTGAGTCGTGTAAGGCTTTCTTCCGAAGACATGCACTCAAAGTGAAAGTAAATTAAATATTTATAATTATTATTGATTAGTAATTTTAATTAAATATATATTTATAGCCATTTATATGTCCACAATATGATGGAAAGTGTGATATTGACGCCAATACTAGACAATTGTGTAAGAAATGTAGACTTGATAAGTGCTTTGCAGTCGGTATGAAAAAGGTTAATTATTAATTTGTGTTAAATAACTTATTTCAAAAAATTAATTATTTATTTAATTAATTAATTTTTTATTTAGGAGTTAATCCGAAGCGAAGGGGAAAATGTATGGCGAAAACTCTGCCGACAAAACTCACTACAAGTATACGGAAACAGCGATTTGTCGGACAATACTATACATAAATCAACAGATTTTGTATTGAATTTAATTGAAAACACAGCGAATATCACCGAAACTGATCTCAACGAACAGATCCGTGAGATTGAAGACTGTGTGACAACTAATACGTCAAAAGCATATCAGACTTTGGATGAGATTCGCCGCAAATACCACGAGATGTCCATAAATCCCATATTCAAAGGGCTGACAGACTATAACGGCTGGAATCAGTTGGAAACCCGACGTATGTCTGAACTACTGATGGCGTGTCAAGTGTTAGACTATCCCACGGCTAAGACTAACCTACGGCTCAAAGACAAGAACCAAATGGTGATAATGACCACAAGTAAAACCGATCACAAAATCCGTGATTTTATCACGTTTTCAAAGAGTCTGAACGGATTCGCCGACTTGTGTCCGACGGATCAGTTGGCGCTCTTCAAGTCCGGATCACTGGGTTTACTGTTGTTATCAATAATGATGTGTTATAATGAAGAGACACAAGGATTTAACATGTTTGTTGTACGTGATAATTGTAGTTATGGTAAAATAATTAGTGTTTTAATTGATATATTAATTATTTGTCTGTCGATAGGATGAGGAGAAGTCTGTTGTGTTTAGTTTTGATGATTTCCAGTTCAGAGACTTTGATTATTTAGGCGTTTGGCGAGAGTTTGTGCTCAGTTTGTGGCCAATACTCAAGTCGGATAACATTGTCAAACACTTGGTAATAATTAATGGTTTTTATTTAAAATTTTCTCAATAATTATATTCATTTTTGTAAATATTTACTCGTAGTTAACGGCGATAATACTGTTTAATCCTAATTATCCCAATCTTAAGCACAAACATAATGTTGAGTATGTTATGAATACACATTAAATTACTTTAAAATTTTAATTATTAATTATATTTAATTCATTTAATTGAATTGTTTGTTAGACTCGAACAACAACTGTATATATATTTACTGCAAAGATATCTACTATTGAAATACGGATCGGAATCACAGCCAAGACTACAGAATCTAATGTTATTATTGAAAGACTTGCATATATTGAGAGAAATACAGCACACATTTGGGGCCACAGAATGCCAACAATATTCACCATATTTAGGTCCACTCGTTAAAGAGATTTACGATTTATCCTAATTAACATAAATTTATTAATTTTTGATCTAGATGATATTTTATTTTAATTTTAAATTTTTATAATAAATAAAATAAATTCATAATTTTAAACATTTAATATCAAAATTAATTTGTAAATAATCATAACTTTTGTTTAATGATAAACAATAATTAAGTTATTCAAGTTTTATCAAATATATCTTATCGTTAGCTCTAAATCAATAATTAGGATATTTATAAACATTAAATTGAATCAAAATGGTTATTTTTATTCAAACATAAGTGCAGTCAAATAGGATTCAATGTATATAATTCATATAAATATAAAATAATTAATTTGCAATTTTTAAATACTTAATAAAATAATTAATAAAGAGATGTTTATTTGTAAAGTATGCGGCAGTGAAGCAATTGGTTAGTATTATTTTATTTATTTATTAAAGTAATTATTATTTTAATAATTAGGGCGAAATTTCTATGTGTTTTCGTGTGAGTCGTGTCGGTCTTTCTTCAGGAGATATGTGCTTAAAAATCAGGTGAAATATAATTATTAAACACTCATAAATCACTTATACTGTATATTACCAGACATTATACTGTCCATCAAATGGCAACTGTATTGTAGACTCAAAAACAAGACATTTATGCAAAAAATGTAGACTTGAAAAGTGTTTGGCTGTGGGAATGAAAAAGGTATAAATGAGTAACAATTAAGTGATTGTATAGTAAATCATATGCTAATTGTATAGGAATTGATACGAAGTAATGATGAAAACCAATTGAGACGACTTCAGCTCTTGGAGAGGAAGCAAAGAGTAAAAGTGTTGCCACAAATCACAGATTCTTCCGGATCTGATACGACAGACAACTCGGTGTCCGCCGAAGACACCAATGAATTGGATGTTATGTTTGATTTGATTCAAAACACACCCGAAATCAATGACAAAGACCTCAACAAACAAATCGCCGAAATTGAAAGTATATTAACGACAAACAGTGCACTGATTGACAAGTATTGCCACAAAATGCAAACACTAACAGTCGTTCCCATATTTAAATCACTCACCGATTATAACGGCTTAAACCAATTGGAAACCATTCGGGTATCGGAGCTATTGATGGCGTGTAAAGTATTGGATTATCCGATGCCTACGAATGCCATTAAAGTGAGTGATAAGGAAGAGATAATCAGACTATCAAACCGTAAGTCCGAGTCTATGGTCGCGGATGTGATTACTTTCGCCAAACGGTTAACCCGTTTCTCAGACCTGTGTTTTGCCGATCAGTTGGCGCTCATTAAGTACGGGTCACTTGAGTTGCTAATCATGTGCTATACAAAGTTCTATAACATTGAACATGATCAATTTGTGGTCTATTTGGTAACTTTACAATGATCGAGATGCTTTTAAAAGTTGCAAATAATATTTAATTTATAATATCTTATTTATCAATTGCAGGACGAAACAAATTCAGTAATAATGAAAATTGACCAGGTGGTCTATAATGATCTTAATTATTTAGAAATAATGAGATGTTTCAATTCAAAATTATATCCCGAACTAAAAAGCGATCATGTTGTCAATTATTTGGTATTTAATTTTAATAACTATTTGATATTTTATATATGCATTATATTATAATTATATATTTAAATATACTATATTTCAAAGCTCATGGTAATTATTCTATTCAATCCCAACCGACCCAATTTAATTCATAAAGATTGTGTGCAGTAAGTTATATTTGTTTGAATAATACTTGAATTAATCATTTATTAATACTTTATATTGTTTTGTTTGTTAGACTCGAACAACAACTGTATATATATTTACTGCAAAGATATCTACTATTGAAATATCGGTCGGAATCGGAGTCACAAACAAAACTTCAAACACTAATGAATTCAGTGAAGGATATAATAAATATGAGAGAATTTACTATAACTTATGGTTTGGATGATTATAAAGAGTATTTCAATCATTTCGGACCACTTGTCAGAGAGGTTTATGACATTACTATTTAATTGCGAGAAACGTTTACTTATTTGTTATAATTGTTATAATTAATTTGCATAGGTAATATTTAATTAATAATTATTATGTGGTGTTTTACATTGACAATATAACGAATAAAATGGAAATTCATTTATTATTTTTTATAACATTTCTGTATATTTTTAAAAATCTAGGTTTAAATCTTGTTTAACACTGTAGTTATCTTATCACATTGAACAAGTATATATTTTATCATTTATAAACATTAAATTAAATGCGAATTATCTATAATTTAGTTTAAAATACATTTATAAATATAATTTTATTTTAAAAAATATTATTTATTTGACAATTTATTAGTTAATAAAGTGATAAGTATTTGCAAAGTTTGCATCAGTAAAACAATTGGTTTGTAATTATTGTATATAAATATTTAATAAAAATTTGATAATTAGCCGACAATTTAAACTTGCCTCAAGAAACTTTATAAATATTTTTAATCATATTTAAAAATTCGAATTAAAATTTATAAAAATATAATTATGTTATATTTTATAGTCTAAAGATGGAAGTATTTCCTGTTATAAAAAATTAAATTTAAAAATACAGCGAATCATTAACTTATCCTTGATATAAAACTATCAAAAGAAATGTCAATAATTGTAGTGAAGGACTATTCTAGAGTCAGATGGTTTGTAAAATACATGAACTACTGTAGTAAACAACATGATTTAACTTTAATCCATAAGCCTGCATGATATTCTTATACATTTTTAAAATTCTAATACTTATAATTAGATTTAATTAAATGATTAGTTACATGCATCTGTTAAACAACCATAAATATGTCATACTGGGAATTACTAACAAGTAATTTCAGTATTAATCATAAGTTTTTCAACAAATAATTTGATAATTAATATATTTTTTCTACTAATGACTTATTTTGCAATAACTATTAATTAGTTATTTTCCATAAATTATTTCTAACCAATCAATGATTAGTATTTGTTTCACATTGTGTAAAATATGCACTGCTATATAAGGCATGCAAATTGTAATACAAATCAGTTCCCATTTATACCTCAAATAAAACTGTTCAATAAAGTGATAATTATTTATAACAAAGCCTTTGTTATTATGTGTCTTAGCCTACAATTGGCCGTAGGCTGGGATAAGCCGTGAAGGCGTTCAAAGGCAGTGAACAGTGAGGTTATCTTCGGGAGAAGTTTAGATCGAATTTCGGTCTATTAGTTACGCAACCGTTCGTTTCCGGTTCCGATAGCGAACCGTTTTCTTTGTTTACACGCTCTACCACTTGAGTGCGCCACCGCGCGCTCTACCGCTACACTCTATATACCGATTGCTACCGATTATTACCGCAACCAGTGTTGGAAAGAAATTTCCAGCATAACATGGTGGAGACGCTTTAACGCCATTAGTCAGTGTACGAAAAGCGTTGATCCCAAGTATTACAAGATTTATTACACCACTGTTATCACCACCGATAACATGGCGGAAGCGCATTGACGCCAATTAGATAGCAGTCGAAAAGCGTCGATTCCCACACAATAACAACACTATATTATCGAAATGGTGATAGTAACCAGATCTACAGATGGGAAAACAACTGGAAGTGACTATACGTTCGCCTCCGACTCAACTCGGTTCAAGAACCTCGAGGCATGTCTACGGCCACTACCAGACGATGACCCGGCAGTCATCGAAGTCGACCTGATGGCAGACC